TTGTTGCCATTTTTTGGAGGACGGGATCCGCAATTTTGCTGTAGCAGAAAAATGAAATTTATTGAAAACTCGGGTGCCCCTGTCCACGCTCTAGATAGGCCGTTCCACGCCCTAGATAGGTCGTTCCATGCCCCCTGGATTTGTCGTTCCACGCTTTGTCCACGGTTTGCCCACGGTCAGGTCTGAAACTGTGCATAAAGTCTGCATGCTGCATCAAAATATCTTGTTATTCTAGATTGTCTCTCGTCAAGAATTTGTGAAAGTAGCGAATAAAATGATATCTCTTGGCTGTGCACATCTTGAGTCCCTGCTACAGTACGCTTCCTTTTATGTCCCATGATTATCGTTTAAGTCTTGTCTCCAAAGACCTTTACACAGTAGGTCTTCGACGCACAGAGAGACTCAGAGGGAATGGCAAATAGAATGCCAATTCACAACCAAGATAGAAAAGCAAATAACATGTCAGATAGAATGTCAGCAAATAGAGGGGGGTCAAAAAAAACGTATAGGCCAGTTCTTACTGGCTAAACATGGCAAACATACAGTATTTGCCTGCGATCTTCAACAACCATGCTTACACCAGGGGAGCCACGACCGCAGTGTGCCAAGACTTGGTGTTCAGCCTACCATATACCTAGGGCCTCCTCAGACTTAAATTTCAGCCCGAGCTCAAAAAGGCTGTTTTTCTGCCCGAGTTCTTAAAATCCGCCGGAGTCCCAAAAATCTGCCTGAAGCCTTTTTGAGTGTGGTGTTTTAACTACGAGGCAGCTTCATTCAAGAAACATCAAGAGCATGCAGTTTGGGAAAATCCGCCTGAATAGTGGGAGAATCCGCCTGAATAGTGGGTAAATCCGCCCGACTATCGTCTTTCAAAATCAAAAAAACAATGGGAATAATCCTTGAGCCTGCCCTGGTTATAATGGCAAAATCTGACTGAATGGCAAAATCCGCCCGAGGTCTAATTTTCAGCCCGAGGATCTAAAAGGATCCTTTTAGGAAAAGGTTTTAATTTTAGCCCGAAAGGTGGTGCTAGGTATAGTCTGTAGAGATTGTTAAACAGCTGCTGGTATGGGCAATTGCAAACACACATCCCCGCGACCATGACCGAGACGGTCGAATCGACCACTATAATCCACAATTGACTTCCGCCATGGAGCTCTTTTGGCTATCAGCAACCCTTTTTAACGGACACTAGCCAGCCAGCCTTGCGCTTTCGGTGTTTTCTCTCTTTGTCTTTTTGGCACCTGCTCAAAAAACTTGGATAAGTCAGTCCAGGCCCCGTTTGCGACAACATGTATGCCCGGAATCTTTGGTATTTCAGGCGGATACCCGGTTTGGGACAAGCAAATATCACTGACATCCGCAAATATTTTGGTTTCTGGCAAAGCGTCAGAACAAACAATCCAAACAATAAGTTTCCTGAGAACTTAATGCCTGGAACTGATAGCAACCTGCCCCTGCAAGTTGTGTTCCTACGATTTGGAATTTGGGCAACAATGCCATCCACATGTGGATTGGTGAAGAAAGCGGCGCACCAGATTTTTTCAATGGTCAATGGTTGTTATTTTTGACTCGTGGTTTTCTTCCCGGGATGTAACTTTTGATTCAGGCCTAAACCCAGGCCAATCTAGTGGCCACCCTTAAGCAGACGGACCTTGGCCAATTCCACCTGCTTTGGCAGGTCTTCCTCATCTGAATTTGCCTTGGCGAGGCCAAAGGGAACATAGCAATTTAGGGTAATTCGTCTTGCATGGCCGGGTCAGCATGCTAAAACTGCGAAAACCTGAGATTGAAAGGCGTCAAGAGGACATACTGGGCTTATGCTTTGCGGGGACCTCGCCTGTCAAGTTGAAGATATGATCATCAATGCAAAAAGCCCACACAGGCAACAAAAACGAAGACTCGGGACAGAAAAGCCAAACTCGAAAGGGCACTGCTTTGGGTGGCTTCATCAAGTCAGTTTTGTGGGCTTCATGTCCTGGATTGCAGCCAAACTGCGGCGTCTGCAGCAAGCACCGACAAGTCAATCGCGCCCTGGCAGCGATTCAGGCACTGAATGGAAGATGTCGCCCTTTCAAGCAACTGTGCGCGAAAAAGCTCAGGTTGGGTTTGCACAACTAGAGCCGTTCCAATCAAAAGGTGGGGGGCGCTGTCGCAAGGAAGGAAGGGTGGCAAAATGGTGGGACCGCAGTAAGTTGAGATGGGCGACATCTGTGCTATACCCGACCTGCTTCGAACCGCTGCTGCGGTCTTAAACGCATTTCAACTCTACAACAGCAGGGAGGCTGGGCCTGGATCGCAATGCATTCCTTGCAAGCTCTTGTTGGCTTCTTCGTTCCAGTGCAGTTTGCATGTCGTGCACAGATGGAAGTCTGCATGGTGTAATCGGCGGTCTCCTTGTAGACTTGACAGCCCGCTGATGTTGATTCTCTAGATTTACTTCTGGAGGCCCAGGTATGCCAAATTTGTCTCTCCTCTCTCTCTCCCTCTCTCTCTAGCCCGGTGGTGCTCAAAGCCATCAGAACAGCATCGCTGTGCCCTTCCAAGTTGAGCGTCCAAGTCAGGAACACTTTAGTTAGTCCAGGGGCTTCCCAAATCAGTCCAATGAAAATGCGCCAAATGATGGTTGTGGATGGTTATGGTATTGCACTTGGGGCCAGAAAGGTGCAACCTGTATCCACTTGCTGCACTCATCATCACCATCATCACGTCATCAATCAAACAAATCCTCAAATATCTCCAATCCGTCCAAATCCGTTCGAATCCATTCAGATCCATTCAAAACCAGAATAAACCCTTGTCGTCGCATGATGGAAAAAGTGCTTCTCGCCCGAATCTTCCACAAAACCTCTAACAAGCAGGTACATCCCTCAGTCAAGTCGCGTAAAAATCTAGAATCTATAACTAGGTCAAAGCTACTCGAAGGAATCAACAAAGTGCCAAGACTGTTGGAACGTCCACCAGGGCGCAAATAAAAGAACCAAACAACAACACAACGACACAAAAACACGACGACACAACGACACCAGCAAGAACAGCAACAACAACAACAACAACAACGACAACGACAACGACAGCAACAACAACAGCAACAGCAAAAACAACAACAACAACAACCACGACAGCAACAACAACAGCAACAGCAAAAACAACAACAACAACAGCAAAAACAACAACAACAACAAGAAGACCAACAACAAGACCAACAACAAGACCAACAACAAGACCAACAACAAGACCAACAACAACAACAATAACAACAACAACATCAACAACAACAACAACAACAACAAGAAACAAGAAACAAGAAACAAGAAACAAGAAACAACATAACACAAACACACTCCAGGGTTGAACATGAACCACCACGTTGTGGCGGCCTTGGCAGAACGTCAAACTTCAGGGATGTTGGCAGTGTATCCTATATAGTAAAAAAAAAACTGCCTGGGTCTGTTTACCACCGCTGCTTGGTTCCTTTTGAGCAGGGTTCAATAAAAACAGCGTGATTTGAGAAACCAAACAACTATGCACTGTGCACAACAAAACGACTGCGAGTCAATGCAGGAAAATGGAGTCCGAAAATAGAAACATACACGGAACACCATATCTTGGTATGGGTTGACCGGGGTTTTCAAGACACCGGCTGATTAACAATCAAAGTTGCTACATGTACTCTTTACATTGGTCGTTTGAAATACATCTACTACATGTAAGATGGAACCTGAAAATAGCTTTACTCCACCAGATATTGCCTTTATTTGTTGGTTTCCATATGTTTCCATATACGGAAACAAGCTACAACATCAACGAATAAAGTCATGTCAACACATCAGAAGCAAAGCAGGTTCCTGCATGCTTTTCTATTTCCCTACACTTCATGAATGAAAAAGTAGTAAAACAGAAGATGACACTGCTTGAACTTGCATTGTGTTCAATTACATTGCATCACATCACATAACGTCCCATCACATCGCATAAATGACATACATTACATACCATTACATACATTCCATACATATTCGCTACATATACATACATATACATGCATACACATTATATGAATATGTAAACATGTTCTGTCTCGTCATCTCTCCTTCAGGTCACAGCTTATCTCGCCATGAATTGATTGGCGAAGAACTTGTTTAAACGGTGCCCAGCTGCCCAGCTGACGTTCGAATGGTGGATCCCAAGGTGCTATTCGAATGGGGAGAAACTCATGATTCACCAGTGGGGTACCCGATTTTCACTTCGGGCAGGGGCTCGAATGTCCTGGAATTTTTAGGCATCCCCTGTCTGAGAAGTTCACAACTTCTCGATATAATATATATATAATTGGATGAAGGTGAAATTCAAGGGAGAATTCCAGACCTGAAAAGTTTCGCTGGGTTTCCTCTAGATGTTCCCACGATTTGCACCGCAACGAAGCACAACTCCCACAGCAACCGTAGATGCCATCCATGCCGCCTTCGGAGCCGCCACCAACTTGGGAATGCGTTTGCGCCTGCAATTCACGGCGGGCCTTTTAAATCTGGTTGCGATGGGTTGCAACTCCCGGGATTTTCACCTGGCAACTTGTGGTAGGAAGAGGTGGTGGGATACCCGACCGTTGCCATGGTTTGCCACACTAAGAATCAATGGCCATGAACTGGAAATTGGTAAGTCCAAAAAATATGGACACAAAATGTGTCATGAAGATCCTTGTGCCACAAGTTCAAAACTGACCTTTCATCTTGCCCATTGTTGGGTTTTTGGCTTGGTCTCCCTGCAGAGTCTGACGCAGAGGAACATTTTGCACCTGCAGTCCAAGAGAACAAAGATTGGTAGTGGTAATGGTGGCGATAATGTTGATGATCCTCCAGACCCTCTCGACATCCTGATTCTTGTTGGTTTGAGCTTTCCAAATTCAACACAGGCCATGCTTTGGTTGAACATCCTTCAAGTCTTCCTGACTCTTCCGTGCGCCGCTGCGGACCTAGGACTGATGTTTCTTCACGACGGGATCAGCCCATGGCCACCTCCAACTGCTCCCAAATCTGCTCTCCATCGAAGCCTGGCAGTGGCTTTAGGTCAGCGAAAAATGCCTCTGGATCCCGGATCTCTATGTGTATATATAGACATGTGAATGTGCATATATATATAATACATTGTATATTAAATATTATATTATATATATATATATTCAAATACTTATATGTATAGCTAGACATTATATATATAATATAACATACACATCAGATATTGCAATTATTACATTTTGACCATTACAAGACATCATATCTACATTGACATGTGCATACATGCACAACGCCTACCCATCACAACAAGTTACTGAATCTCCAAGAGTTTGTTCCCCCTCTATGTTTTTGTAAATGTGGGCAAGAGGATACAGCCCAAATGGATAATGGCACACAGCATTCATTGCATGGTTTTTGCGCTGTTGCTAGGTGGTTGCCGTATCTCACCACTGAATAGAGTGAATGGCTGAAAGAGACAAAAATAGGCATGTACCTAGAACCTTTACCTATACCAATCCCGCTCACAAGGGCGATTTAGCATCTTCCGATTTTTTGAGCTTGATTTTTCCAGCCAAGTGCCTGTAGTACATACTAATACCTGGTAGATTGGACTCCAAACCCGCCTTGCACCACCAATTGTGGCACTTTGTTGTCCTCTGGATTTCTCAACTCCTGACAACCCCAGCAACTGCATACTATGGGCACCAGCGAAGCGCTGCCCATCAGCAAATATCTTATCCTGGAAGAGCACATTCCTGACTGGAACCCCAGAACCCCAAACAAACAGAAATAGCTATGGTTGTCTTCCCATGGTGGTAAAGTGAGTAGGGAAGAATCCGTACATAACAAATGGATACAAATGGTTGTTTGGAGGGGTCCAGGTTTGCATTACCACAGTCACAGTTCCCAGCGGCCTTCTTCGCTCTTCAGCCAATGAAATAACCGCAGCCAAAAGCAAATTCCACTGGCATAGAAAAAAGGTAAACTGGTGGCGTTCACGTTTCAATCACCTGAATTTCTGGTAAACCTGGGAGGAGTACCCAAAAATAATTCCAAACCAGACCAAAATCTGCACATAAAAAGTTGCGCGCCTGGCCCGCACCGAAGAAAAGTCTCACGAAAGCGCGGGCGCCCTGGCCCGCTCGGTCCACGGCCCAATTTTGCGGTCACCGATGTCACAGGTCTTTGATCTGGAAACCCAAACAATCTGGTTTTCTTCAATGGAAGTGACGTCCCCGGATCCAACTTGTTATGTGAACACACTGAGTTTAATGCCAGCCATGAAACTGAAAAATTGGAGCAGTAAAGCTGTTCTCTGAAAAGTCTTCATGCCTCCAGATGTTGGGATATCTGATGCCATCTCCTGCTTCAATGTATAGGTGCCCTGCCAGCTAAGCCTCTCATACTTGGGAATCCTCTTAGCAGTTCTGATCGACTTTGGGAGGCTCTTTTGCAGGGATGATCGACTTTGGGAGGTGCTGTTGATTCACATAATTTCAGGGATAACTATGTATATATATATATATATATATTATGTATATATATGTATATATATATATATACTGCAGGCAAAAACAGCTTGTCGGAGCAACAATCACTTGAAGGGAGAAGATCATACAAGATCCACTTGAACAGAGTGCAGTGAAATGTTGCAGATCAACTTCCCGTATATCAAAGGATGAGTAGTACCCCCAAATCACAGGAATACTGCCCTGCCAACGTTCCAACAATACGCGTAGAAAACTAGAATCAACATGAATTGACACGGTTTGGAAACTCTTGGAATATAATCCATTAATTATGGGATTTATACCATTTTATACCCATCAATAGGGACTTATATACACACCCATTGATACATTGACAGGATCAAGCCATGCAAGCCGCAAAGGCGCCTCTGCAGCACCTTGTGCCTCTACACTCTTGGGATCTAGCAACCATTCGGCCCTGAGAAGATCACCAAGGTGAAAGAAATGGGGCTACCATAAATGGGGGTACCCCAAAATGGGTGGTTTTTGTAGTGGAACATCCTATAAAAATGATGATTTAGGGGTACCCCATTCTAGGAAGTCGTCACTGTACCCCCAGAAAGGGGTTCCGGACTTAATTTCCCATGATATCCATGATGCAATTCGGGGGAAGTGGAAACTGGAGATGATGTTGGAAACATTTGGAAGGCCCCCAGGTTTTTGAAACATTGCAGAAATATCATAGAAATCATCTCCCCAGTTTTCCGTTTGGGAAAGCATTCCGGCAACTGATCTCTTAGGCCAAAGCAAACATGCATGACGAGACATGAGTAGGTGACTTGCAAACATTTCGACAGCCAAGACCTTCAGAGTGAGTCTCCAAGCATTGTGGTGTCTTTGTCTGCTTCTTCAGCCCGACAATTTTGGATATGCAGTTGCGTCACCAAAAGAATCAAGAGATTGATTCATCGAGCATCTCATCTGTTCATCACGGTTTCATCAAACACATAAACATCATCAAACCTTCCATCAATTTCTGACATTCTGTAGCATAAAGGCACTCTCAGACTTGGTTATTTCAATGGTGTTCTCTCCATGGTTCAACATGTTTCAAGCGTCGTTGATTTCCCTGTCGATCATCAAACCACAAAAGGGGAGCTCTTGGCCATGCTCAACTCGCCTGTCAATGATCTCTGCCAGCTTCTCCCGCACCTGTTGCAGTTTTTTGGACAAGCCTGGGCGCTGGTAACGCCACGGGGATGGTAAAACGACTGCGAACAGCGAGTCGCGAACGGATGTCAATCTACAAAGTCTTCGAGTCAAAATCCTTGAGTTAGTTGAAGTTCGTTGAACACTTTCTTGTTAGTTGAAGTTCATACTATTATGTCATATATATATATGTCATATTTAAATATATTTAACAGTAGAAATATGTGATAATAGTAGAAAGTTAAGCAGCTAATGTTCGTTGAACACCCAGGTGCCAGCTGTTTCTGCTGGAGCTCGATTTTTGGCAAGGCGATCCCGGAGATCCCAGGGACATCAGATGACAGGGACCCCACCTGGGTCTGCCATGGCGCAGAGAAATGCTATGGTCGGGACTTGAAGGTATTTCTGGATTGATTTTCGGAAACACCAAACCATGGTGTTTTCATCATTTCCGAGAAGAAAAATCACGAAGCCATGGTTTTGGATGGTTTTGGATGGTCCAATCTTACCAAACATGTCCAAAAGTCTCCAAGTCTCTGGGGAGTTGGTCATCAGAATCCAAGTCCGGGAGATCCCCCTGGCCCTGGCACCATATTCGCTATCGCCTTTGGCACATTCCCTGCGTGTTGAAAAATCGATGTGATTGATCTTTGATGATGTTCATGTTAAATCATGATTGATCTTTGATGATGTTCATGTGTTCCATAAGATGGACTTCTGGAGGGGCTATCCACCATCTTTGCTGATCTCTTGAGCTGCAAAAGCTGCAAACATATCTACGGCAGGGACAAATGTCAAAGGATGCGAGTCTTGTCAAATATGTCTATCTGTGTGAATTTTGTCTACATATGTGGAATCAGTCGATGAAATTCGATGAACATGTCAGACTCCAGGTATCTCTGGGTCGCCCATATGTTGGAACTTCGGTCCTAGGCAAAGCCTGCAGCTGGCCCCCTCTTTTTGTGGGTCTGCTTGCGAATAGTTGAGCCTCCAAGCCCAACGGGCGGCAATCAGACACCCTCATTTCACTCAGCTTGTCCCATCTGTCACCTAAATTCATCGGCTTTCTATGAGGGCACCCATAACTGCCATTGCCCGGGAACAGGAGCATCACCATCGCAGTGATGCTAGTGATGCTACAACTGTCACCCCATCGGCCAATCGCTACCTTTCAGCACCCGGCGGTCACATGGTTTTTTTGTCAGATGCGGACCACAAGTGGAATGACTTCCGGCTGTGATTTATTGCAGATGCCAGTTGAGTGTGCAACAAAAACGACATTGATACCAAATCTACTTCGGAATCAAAGGACCCTTGGAAGCCTTGGCATGGTCCTGGTGTGTCCTATGTAGTCCCGTTGGTCTTTGGCCGATGTCACAATGGAGACCCAGTGGCTCATCGGCACTCAGGGTTTCACGATGAACCAGGATGGTGGCATGTCATCAGTGGTGGTGATCACCTCAACGAGAACACCGATGTTCAAATGGAAGCAAAGATCGGATTTCGGCTAGACCACTAGAATCATCTAGAATCATCTAGAATCATCTAGAATCATCTAGAATCATCTAGAATCATCTAGAATCCCTAGAAAGGTAACCATCTAAGATGCCATCATCAGGTTTTTGAATCCGCGTCCATCGTCAACCTATCCCTGGGATCCTGGCCTGCAGCTGCCGTTGGCTTGCAAATCGATCCACCGCGCTGCGCACCTCGGGCTCAGCAATTTTTGTACCTCAAGTCTGGGAAATCTGAAACTTTTATCCAAAGGTACATAGAGATATAAAGAGTGTGTATATATATATGTGTGTAGTTATATGATGTTATATGTAATATTATGCATGCATAATATATATATATAATATATATATACATGTGTGTTTAAACTGGAAACATTGACGAGCTCAAGTTCCCATCGTTCCCATCCCCACTTTATAGCCCGTCTGCACCTGGATCTTGCGAGCAGCATCATCCATATATGTGCTGCCTGCACTAGGTTCATTCAGACCCTGCTGAACCGCAATGAAAGCTTACGAATGCAAGATAATACAAGCATGAATGTAAATGATAGTACTTATAGATAGTTGTAGAATGGGTGTATATATATATATAATATGTATGTACATACAATATGTATTCTATATGTATATGTACTTATGCCCAAAAATGATATTCGAAAGTTGTCAAATCACAGAAATGGCGGCTGTGATGGATGGATGGTCCAAAGTCACAGATACTTTTCTTGGCCTCAAAAAGGCGCAAGAAATCTGTGCCGGCAAGGGATAATTTACAACAAGGCAATTAGTATATTTATATAGTGATAATTTACAACAAGTGACAATTCACAAATCAAGAAATCAGTATATATAGTTTGCGTGGTAATTTTACAATCAACATCAATCAACAAAGGCAAACATGATGAACATGTAAAAGCACTGGAAAATCGTGGATCTCTTGGCGCAAAAAAAAAAACAAATTCCCACTATGATCATAAAAAAACATGGGCCGGCCGGAAATTCCACTGGAATCTCCAGCCTGACATGAGACCCCCAGAAGCCAAGATAGGCCACCAGAGCTCCAAATCTCTTGTTACCTGGTGTTGTCGGGACTGCTGCAGCAGCAAGAGAGGATCTCAATTGGATTCTTTCCAGGTCTTTTGATGAGGTCTACCTGATGTTAAGTTCGGTCTATGTCTAGCTGAAGTCAAGTTCCAGTGTTTTAGGGATGGTGGATCCTCAAATTCAAGAAGAATCAGGTCATTCACGGTCATTCCAGGTCCAACTTTGATTTGCCAATGCTGATTCAGCTTTGCATAGAGTCATTGATGATACAAAGCAACACCCCGTGTACAGAGGAGATATATGTGGATATCTCCTGTTTCGCTGACAGCACTATGAATCAAGACTTTGCTATGTTGACTTAAACATCAAAGTATATAGCTGGTGTATAGCTGCAACTTCATTTACCCATCCATAAGGTCCTAGGTATTGACACATCTCTTCTGCCAGTGGCTTTCTTCCGCACCTCCTCCTCGGCATGGTTGGCATCAATATAAATGAACCTTTAGAAGGTTGGCAGTCAGAATTTAGGCATTCGGATCATCAATGGACGAAAAGACTCCACCAGCTGAAGAAAACACCAAGCTTCCAAAGAAACCATGGCTACCAAATGCTACCAGCTTCATTGGCCCCGATGCAGCCTGATGCTGGCTGCCCGCCCGCTGCGCTGGGCTTCCCTGACGTCGCCACACCCGGGGTCTGCTCCGCTTTCCGGTAGACCTCTGCGAAGGAGTAGGAAAAGTCACGTACCTTCCGAGCAGTGGCCAGGCCCGGTGAAGATTGCAGTGGGTCATATAGTCATACCACCAGGATCCACCAGGTAGGACTCATTGCTAGTGAACTTATTTTTGAGCTTTTTGTTAGTCTTTACATAGGTATATAGATATGATATAGGTGATTACAGGTGTATATGATATCATCGTACGAAGACTCTGACACTACATCTACGAAATTAATTACATGTGTTATATGTGTACACATAAATTTAAGCACCTATGGTGCTGCTGGATGGTCAAGCCACCCCAAGAAAGTTCTTTGGCACAGGAGATAGCTGCAGATAGCTTCCTGCACCGGCGAAGGTGGCTGCAAGGCGCACCAAAACGTAGCGCCCCTCATATGGCTCGAGACGATTGCGAAGATCCTGCAGCAAAGTGTGAGAAGGGTAAGACCCCACATCTGAATGAGAACGAAAACAAGCCAGCAAAACGTATGAAAAAAAAAAACATGCGCAAAGAAAAAGGAAAAAAACACAGTTTAGGGATGATTATTGTCATTGCTGATGTCACTTCAGTGTGCTTTAACCCCTTCTGCATCCATGTTATTTGAAAAGTTATTGCCACAAGTTGTTACTACAAGATACTAAAAGTTATGACGAGTATAATTGTTCCAATTGTATCTAATTGCTGCTATAGTTACGATGCATTGCTGCTCCGAATCCATGTTGTCCTCGAAGACCATCTGGTGCTCATTGTCCTGCAAGTTGGCAGGGTCATCATAGCCTCGCCACTGGTGGATGAAGGGATCCACCAAATACCTGGCATCACAAAAAGCGCTTCACGAGCTTCGACACATAAGATCCATATCATTCCATAGATTGATCCATCGTGGTTGAAAGGGGATTAAACAAGTGACAAATTGTGGAGATACGACTAAGATACTTGAAGATATACTTGAAGATACTTGAAACACGTTCTGTTTCATGGAGAATCTTGAAATGAAATCATCATGTTCCACCAACGGAAAACGTCGAATCAACAAACGGGTTTGTCTGAAAAAAGCGTGCGTGCCCCAAAGCCATCCAAGACCTCATATGTGATCAACATGTTCCCCACTAAGTGCCAAACACATCCAAATACCCGTATTTCAATCATGTTTGATCCAAATCACTTAAAGATACCCCCACTTCCCTCAATCCCCCACCTTGTCTTGGCATGTGTTGGCCGCACCAACCATACCCCCCATCCCTCCAGCCCTTGGCGCACAAGCCATGGGCAGAGGACCAGTCGCGCAGAAGGCGGATGGCAAAGTCGCCCCGGCCAACGCCCAACAGGACCTTGGAAATGCCAGGTAACTGGCGATGGGATCTAAAGCCCCGTGGAGGCCCTGTTTGATGAACGCCATAGACGCTCTCATTGGGTCATCTAACCCTAGTGCTCTAAATACCATCCGAAAAGGTGTTTGGACCCCCCAAACCAGGCCCAAATATAGTCTCAGAGGGTGTTTGGAGCTGTAGGCCAAAGTCCTGATTTTTGGGTGAGTCAAGAGATAATTTCTTGTGAGACAAGTCCAAGAGATAATTTCTTGTTGTTATTGGATTTTGGGGATTCCGCCAGAAAACTTGGGGGAGTGAACGCGGCAGTTTTTTTGGTGGGATTCCAACCACAATAGAGACTTGGCTAATCTTTAAATTAGCATGATCGAAGCAGCATGAAAACGCGGGAGTTGAAAGCAAAGCAGCTAAAATGGGACTTGCTAAGTACAGCAGATCCCAGGCAGAATGGTACCTTTCCAAGAAATATAGCACATCCAGTAATTGGAACTGCCAGCCACTTTTGTTGCTTAGATTCCCATGAACTCCCTATAGTCTGATGGTTGAATCCCTTCATATTAATTAATATCATATATTTGATGGCTACAAGGGTATTTAATGCTTCAATTTCTATACGTTGATCCTTGAACATCAAAAAAAAACAAAAAATGGGGGGTTCCTAAACTGGGGATACCCCCAAATCATGCAAGCCAGTAGGCCATGTTATGATTGAAACATGTTTTTCAACATATGTTCCTGGTGAAGAAATCCACGTTTCATCCGAGGCGCTCCGAGCCCACGGGGCATCTGCGCCTGAAGTAGCTGTCCCAAGTCATCTCGGCGTCGCACTAAAGCCTGCAGTGTCCAGGGCTGCACACATCCCAAGGGACCAAGGGACCAAGGGACCTCTGGTGGAGATTTTTCAGCGCAGTGATGGTCAGTCATTAGCAACAAGAATGAACACATGCAGTTCCAGCACATGAAGACTGAGAGCAAACAATCTCATGTAAGGCATGACGTTAGGATTCCCCAACTCTACACAATTCTTAGCATAGGTTCACACAGTCAAAGCATATAGCTCCTGATATTTGGATTGTCGGGAATGAATTTGACCACGTCGACTCAAATTGCATAAGTCGCTGAAACATCAAATTGTGGCAAGTCAGCTCGAACCGTTGTCCAAACTAGGAGATACCTCCCAAAATCCCATAGCCCAGGGTTTGTCATCATTTTCCCCGCAAAAGTTGCCTGTGAATGGGGGTTACATCCACCAAACTTAGATTCTATTGGTTATATCATCCCATTATATCCCCAGTATGGTTGGTTTAGATGTTGGTTTTATACCTCCATTTCCCCCTTACCAATGTTTGCAGCTTCCAGCCTGTGCAGCAGCCTGCGCGGGCTGTGGAGGAGCCTGACAAAGTCAAGAGTATGATGCCTCGATGGAATATGGGATGGGTCAAAACCTTGGGGTCCCCTGGTGAATATCGAAATATATCGAAATAGCTGATGAATGGCTGTTCATCCCCCAAAAAAATATAGTATCATACAGGTTTCAATCCATAGCCAAATATACAAATAGAATCAACTCTGTGGAAGTAATAACTGGCCCACAGCTTTGTTCATTTACGTGAACCCATCTTTCCAGCGCTGCGAAGTTCCGCTCTCCCCAAACACCTCTGGCTTGGACAAGCCGGGATTCCCCATTTGATGCCATGGACAAAAATTTGACTAAGGATGCCACCGGTTCAATGTTGGTGATGTCCCTAAGACTTCGCCGAATCCCTGGAAAACATCCAATTGTTGGGTGAAATCCCCAGTGTCGCGGAATGGATGTTCATCCAGTCAAATATGGTGACAAAACGCTTCTGACTCATCCAATTCAATGAAATCTCTCATCTTTACTCATTCCATCCCTATGCAGCCCATGCAATGCTTCCATGGTTGCTCCCCTCTTTGCCAAGTTTTCTTCTTTTTTTCATGGTGAAATCCCAATTGTTCAAGGTTAAATATGGTTAAACCGTTCAACCCCCAGTTTTTCATGGTGAAATTCCTGGAATATCGCGAAATCCCAAGAGGTTTCAAGCCCTCTGGGCTTACCTCGCCTGAGGTGGCAGCTGCACCTGTGGTGGCGCCTGAGATCTCACCTGCCTCGGCACCTGCGTCATGAAATGGTGACATCTGGGTTGCTAATCAGTATAGCCTATGGTTATAACCCCATAACTTGGGAATAATTGGGATATAACCACTGTAAATTGGATTCTATATCCACTCAGAAACCTAGGGAAATTATGAAAATTCACTGACCTGAAATAATATGGCTACTTTGGGATAGTTACCAGCCATCATTCCAGGGCTCGGTCACAGTGAGGTTCATCATTTACCCAGGTCGATAGATCCCATCCTCCTCTGGTGGCCCCCCAAAACTGCTGGTTTAACCATCAACAAATGGTGTTTTTTCATGGGATTATAATCCCACCACTCTAATATTAACCACCCCCAAATCGTCCCAAATATGTGAACCATATGGTTTTTGGGGGTGTTTAATATTGCGGAGAAGGTATTGTAATGGGATCAAAGAAGGGGATTCCCATCATGGATGATGATAATGACCCACAGATATATACATATGTATATATATATACATGATTTGAATTTATCGAACGGCCGCGGCGAGAGCTCCTTTGTGCTGGCTGGAATATATATATATATATTGAATAGACTCCCTACAAACATCAACCAACAGGGGCTTTGAACACTGCTCCAGCGAGTTGTTTTTGCAGAAAATGATTGTGAACTGCCAATTTTCATGATTACATCAGCTGTTAACTGGTTGTTAAGTAATATTGTATACATATTCAAGCATATTTATTGATATTTCAAGAAACTGCGCTTAACTATCACATTCAGTATGTATAAATATGTGTATATTATGTATATATGTATATATGTATGTATCTCATAATTACATCATATCATATAGTGCAGATTCTTCGTGCGAAGAAGCTGCGCCTCCGTCTGGCTCAAGTCGGCCTGGCACGACATTGTACGAACGACGTGGCTGTTGATATTTGTTGATGCCATGAGTTCCCAAACCACTATACATTTATATATTATATGTATATATTATATGTAAATATTGTATGTATATATTATATGTATATATTATATGTATATTATATGTATATATTATATGTATATATTATATATATATAAATATGGAAATATTATATGTATATATGTAAATATTGTATGTATATATTGTATGTATATATTAAATGTATATATTATATGTATATATTATATGTATATATTATATGTATAAATAATATGGATATATTATATGTATATATGTAAATATTGTATGTATATATTATATGTATATATTAAATGTATATATTATATGTAAATATTATATGTATATATTGTATGTATATATAATATGTATATATTATATGTATATATGTAAATATTGTGTATATATATTTATATATTATGTATACATTATATATGTATACATTGTGTATATGTATATATGTATATGTATATGTATGTGTATATATATATGAATATGTCTATGTATATATATATATATATATGAATATGTCTATGTATATGTAAATATATCTACATGCAAATATATATATATATGTAAATATGTATATATATATATATATGTATATAATCTGTGTATATATAATAAGTTTATATATATATATATGTACACAGATATGCAGACATACAGTGTATGTATATATATATATAGTTTTATATATATATATATATGTAGACACTGTATATCTGAATACCCGTGAATTTATATGCTTATATGCATTTGTGTATCCTCTGCCTATCACTGCATCTGTTGTCATGATACTATATATATATATGTATTAAACAAAAGTCGTAATCATTCTTGGGTCATATAAGTGAATACCAGGTCTGTGGAGTGGGTGAACTCCCAGTGACTTTCTACACACTTGTTGAAACCCCCTCGAGTTATCAGTGATGAAGCTACTATTGTTTCTTGCAATCGACAAGCTTTGGCGGCTTGAATCCCCACCATTGGTGAACAATTCTCCCATGTTCTGCATGATAACCCCAATGCTCCTATCTAAACAAAGTTACCCTTCGGTAATCAAGCATGGCAATGGACAAATATATATATATAGAGAGAGAGAGAGATAGAGAGAGATAGAGAGAGAGAGAGATATAGATATATATATATATAGATAGATAGATAGATTCGAATAGATTCGAATAGATTCGAATAGATTCGAATAGATTCGAATAGATTCGAATAGATTCGAATAGATTCAAATAGAATCGAATAGATTCGAATAGATTCGAATAGATTCGAATAGAATCGAATAGATTCGAATAGATTATAATAGATTGTAATAGATTGTAAAAGATTGTAATAGATTAGATTAGATTAGATTAGATAGATAGATTAGATACATTAGATACATTAGATACATTGGATACATTAGATACATTAGATTCATTAGATACATTAGATACCTTAGATACATTAGATAGATTAGATAGATTAGATAGATTAGATAGATCGATAGATGGATAGATGCATGGATGGATGGATGGATGGATGGATGGATAGATAGATGTGGTTCCCATCAAAATCTCCATTTTGTCTGGGGATTTCTCAGCCAGCCAAGTTTGATTACCGGGGGATAGATACATATATACACACACCCCTTTAACGTTGCTAACTTCAAATTCTCGTTCATGGCTGAACTGCCCGAAATCTGTTGGTAATTTCCGTATGATTCGGCTGCTTGAACCCAATTCTTCTGCGTGAAATCTTTATGTTTGTTTCGTAAATATGTACCATCAATGGATTGATTTCCGGGAAAATCTGCATGGCGTTTAACCTCAAAAATAATGTTATCATGTAAATTGTTCCTTCATCCTTCAAGCAATTCTGGGATACCAAAGAAGATTACAGCAAACTGATCCAAACTCCTAAAACTTTGAATTAACAAAAACCTCTAACCTGGATTATGTTCAAACGAAACTCCCCCAAATGAGTTGTTTTTTTCCGAAAATTTACCTTTCAATCCCATGGGTTTTATCATCATGTTTGTTACCAATATGGTGGTTTCCTAAATTGGTGGTATCCCAAAATTGATGGTTTATAATGGAAAATCCTATTAAAATGGATGATCTGGGAGTACCTCCATTTTAGTCATTTTAGGAAACCCTAATCTGGTTGGTGGTTGACCTACCCCTCTGAAAAATATGAAAGTCAATAGGAAGGATTATCCCAAATGTGGAAAATAAAAAATGTTTGAAACCACCAACCAGTAATATTACCAATGGACATCTGGGGAACCCCATTTCTGGACCTCAGACTCTTTGAGGTGCTGTAGGATGGGGCTCGGCGGCGGCATACGCCCAGCTGCTGCCAGGGTGGCCTCCAGCTTTGGCTGCCAGGGTGGCTCATTTTTGGGGGAGTAAAAACCATGAACATTTGGGATTTAGATGGATTTAACCATGAGAAATGGTGATTTAACATTGAAAATGGTAAATTAACTATTAAAAAGCTGGATTCAACCATGAAAAAGAGGGATTTAACTGATTTTACCATGCAAAAACGGTGTGATTCCTTTGCGTCAAAGGTGTTAATTTAAAATGATTGAATCATATTGAATCACAAAAAAGGATAAAAAAAGGGGGAATCGACGCCATGTATATACTTGGAGCATATCATTTTTGATAACCACTTCGGAGTTGATATTCAATTTGCTGGGGTTATTGATACTATAGAAACCTTGGAGAAAATCTGTCTTGGAGGACCTTTTTTTTTAATCCATACTGGCTACTTCGCCATAGATGATCGAACATGGCCTGCTGCTCCTTGGCCTTGTCCTGTATGGAATCCAACCTCAACTGTTGCTGGGTAAGCAGTTGATGGCGACCGAGTTAGAACCCCAGAAGATTAGGATTAAAGAGAAAGACAGTTTTGTTCTCAAACACATACACACGTTTTTCTACAGTGTCAGATCTATATCTTGAAAGAGGGATGAGATCAGCATAATTATAGACATCAATCTCATTGTCCACCCGAGGACCAGCTTCTGACCATCTGTGGCCGCTGCTCTCTAAGCAGGGCATCTGTGGAGAGCCCATTTGAAGCCACAGGTTGCGCCTCGCCAGGAGCTGTGTCAGGAGCTGTGCCGTTTCCGAGGACTTCGACATCAGATGTTCTGAAACAAAGAGAAGGAAGGCAGGGAAAAAGAGTCTTGCTTCTGGGAGTACGGTTGTTCTGTATTACAGTACAAGATCAAAGTCAAGATGCAAACGTAGGAGGTACAGTAGGTATTGACTATGTAAACTCATATCAGAAATGTGCATTGAGCAAGTGAGATGAGTCTGCATTGTTCGGAGCGTTGACTTCAGTCAATCCCCACCTTTTTCCACAATTCCGCTTCATGGGCACCAAAAGATCCAGTTGAGGATGATTCATATAATATATGGGGTTATAGAACCAAAGACCTCAGCTGCTTGATGATTGTGTGTCGGGTTATGCAACCCTTTATATCCCACCGTTGCTTTGGGTATCTTCGAGCCACGTATCCAGCCGCGCCTCTCTGCGTCGGTAGGGTGGCCCACTGGAAGGGTCACCTGTGTCCCGAAACCGAGTTTGAAATTGGTTGGTGATCACTATGAATCACTACTAATCACTTTTACTATTTAATAGTGGGTTGTACCTTCCAAGCATTTCATTATTACCCCAAATGGAATTACCACTCTCAGTGGTGAGGGATGCCTGGCATCCGAGGCCAAGGTGGAATCCCCACGAATAGCTGGGCGTTATTGTAGATATGCATGTGTATATACATATATATATATATTTATTTATTTGTAGAGAGAGAGAGAGAGAAACATAATATATATATATATATGTACATATATGTGTGTGTACTGTATGTATATGTATATATCTATATATGTAGATTATAGGGGTTGGAAAACCATGGAAACCCGTTGATCATATCAAATCCCTTCCCCTGAATATTAAATACCTGTCTCAAACCAAAACCTGTTTCATAATGGATTTGCCCATGTTTGGGGCCCCATAAAAATATTGGGGGATGGATTACTGAAAGTTGTATCCGGCTTCAAGACCAAAACCCTAGATAATACCCTTTTGTTATGTAACATAGCTATGGAAAATCACCAGTTTTAATGGGTAAACCATCTATAAGTGTGCCATGGCTTCCATACATGTTGAATAACCAGAGGGTATGATCTGAAATGGCTCGCAAAAGCTGTCGCTTTTCTTGTTAGTGTCCCGTCCTTCTCTCCCCTTTGTCCTTCTGCTTCACTTCACCCTCCTCCTCCTCATGATATAATCCCTTCATGAGAATAAAGAATCGTCAACGGATTGTTAAAAAAGCGAAATCTAAGAGAAATACGAGGATTTCCTCATCAACATCACCTCATCATACTTCACTACCACCATCCTCAACCCGTGGGAAGCTGAAAGCTCGGCTTGCCTCGTGCAGATGGAATGGATGCCTTAGAGTCCGGCCTCGCGCCATCGAGAGCAGGCCGATGAGGCCATGCACCAGCCGGGACCATGGAGATTTCAGCCGTGCTTTAGCAGAAATACCCCCGAATACCTCTAGCAGCCCCACAATCAGGATATCAATCTGTATAATTATCAGATATATCATGGAATCATATGGAATCAATATGGAATCCCTAGATTTGGGAATATGAAACCGGCACCCAATGGGTGATTGAGCTTACCGACCAAAATGGCAGGGTTGAACAATGACTCCCTGTTGCCTATGCATCAGCATGGAAATCATGGATGCCTGAAGTACAGGTATATACCAGGGCAGAATTCAAAAATCAAGCCTCCTCTTTTTCATCAGATAAACACATGACTTAGTACATTGCCCGGGGTGTAAACTTGAAACCTTTTTGGATCCGGGTTGCTTGTTCGCCTGTTCGCGTTTTTTCTCATACAGTATTTCTGCGGGGTCCGTCGCGTCTCGTGACAAAAATGCCGAACAAACAGAAATATGATTATCTAAACAAGCTTTCTCCAGAATCCTGCAACTTGAATCGGAAATGTGGGTAGGGTGGTTGATGCATATGTATATATTTATATATAATTGTATAAGAATGTACATGTTAATGATAACAAACGCAACATACAGTATGCGATATGATATCAGATATATACACATCAAAGCATCTTTTATCATTGGTATATATATATAATCAATATATATATGTATATGTATGTGTATATGTATGTGTATGTGTATGTGTATATGTATATGTATATGTATATGTATGTATACATATATATATAATATCATATATATATGTATGTCCCTCCAGGGCGGACGTTCGCCCAAAGTTTCATTGGGGGTTTAGTTACTTTGTGATTTGTTCAGGATATATTTCAGGTTGTTTTAGGGTTTGCTTAGGGTTGGTTTAGATTTTCTTGAGGGTTTGTTTAGGGATTATTTAGGGTTTGTTTAGTTAATTTTTGTGCTATTTAGAGTTGTTTTAGGGTTTGCTCACGGTTGTTTTAGGGTCTATTTAGGGTTATTTAGTGTTGATTTAGGGTTGGTTTAGGGTTGGTTTAGGGTTTATTTAGGGTTTATTTAGGGTTAGGTTATTTCGGTGTTCTTTCAAAGTCTTGCGGTTCGTTGAGGTCTCAGTTAACGGCTCGAAACACTGCAAATTACGGAGGATATCTTTAAGATACGCTTCAAAAGGTGATTTTGGCACCGTCTTAGGTAAGCGCAAAAATGCCATGAGACACAGGTAATATCAATATTTTGCATGCTCGCAGTGTGCAAAAAACACGCATGGAAACAACACAGCAGATTGCAGTCCCGCATGGAATTCCGTGGATTTCGGGCAAACGTCAGCCCCCTCGCGATATATGTATATGTATAGGTATAGGTATATGTATATGTATATGTGTATGTATATGTGTATGTGTATGTATATGTATATGTATATGTATGTGTGTATGTATATGTATATGTATGTGTGTATGTATATATATATTACATTATATTACAATATATTATATCATATAGATTTTTACCACCAGAAATCATTTTTCGCATCGACAACTTCATCTCCCCTTTCCCTCCTCGGCAGGCTCTCCTTGCATTCCCTGAGCCATGGAACGTGCCTTTTTTTTGTGGACTCGGGGAAAATCAAAGAACCGTGTAAAAAGATGGGGAAATTCACAGGAATGTGTGAAACATGCGGCCTTTTCATGTTTTGTTAATTGTTTAATCCCTTTTCCACAGAATAGCCTATGGTAATTTAAGAGTTTGCTATCAGTAAAATTGTAAAAAATAGGTAAATCATCGAACGAAATGTGCCATGGCTTCCACAGCTGTCAAATTACTAGACGTTAGTCATCTCAAAATGGATCAGAATGGTGGATGTCGTAAATTTTTGTTCCACCACATTCCTTGACTCACCTTGGCCCAAGGGATCCAAGGGTATCTAGTCTTGCCTCAAATCTCAAGTTTGGTCAGCTTTCATTGGGGCCCTTATGGGCCCTTGGTTGGTCCCAAGTGCCTCCGATCTTGGAATGGATTGTGGATCTGAAGTGCTAAGATCATCAGACTCCTGGCGGGCCAACATACCAAAAAAACGATGAAACGAGGCCTTTCTGGGCACACATCAACTGGTGGAATGTTGCGGTTGAGCATGGTTCTCTGAAAATATGCGGCCATAAAACATCTCTGGGCATGGGTCAAAACCATGCAATCCCTTGGTGAACCACAAAATGACTGTAAATGGAACCCGCACATATGGTATAATGGGGTTTGACCCATCACCACATGATATATCATAAATGTCTGTTTTGCTTAGGACATCTTCCTGCTTGTCTCACTGTGCGTATTTTGCTTCAATGCCACTCCAATCCCCTCTGCTCCACAAGCAGGTATGAGTTTAACCTTTGCATGTGGATGTAAGTGACGTTTTTCAATGTTCTAGAATTGCCCAAGGTGGCTTACTCTTCCCCGGCTATCGAAACCATTGCCAGCTTTGCACTGCCAGCGTATAGAAGTCGTAGTTCCCCATGGCGTCAAAACAGCAATCAACGATGAGGTGGATTGGTGATTGCAAGGTTGAGAGTTGGTTCAAACTTGGATCAGCTCACTTCGTGGCACTTTTTGTGATGCAGCGGATAGATTCGGATACGTCAAAGCTGGGAACACTACCGTACTTGTCACGGATTGACCGAACCATTCTGACCATCGCGTGCGTAAATCGGTCATAAAGTGAAGAATGTGAGTTCTTATTCTCCATCTTGAGGTAGGAGACTTGCCAGAATTATGCCAGACCGCTTTGCAAGAAGACTTTGTTCACTATGTACCTCCTGACTTTTGGGGTGCACCTCAGGTAGAGTTATGTGTCTTTTATTGTTTTGAGGTTGCTTTTTATATCGATATCATTCGCTAAAGAGTTTCACAACATGGCGGGTAAGACTCTCATCCATCCTTCATCACATGTAGTGCTCCAACTCCATGCTATCTACTTGAAACAGTGAGCCGAAAAGTGAAGCATCCACACACAGCGACCAGCAACCCCTTGAAGACCCCGTACATATCGCAAGAAAAAGGTCCGCAAAGCATGGTTTTCTCAGGTCCAAACACAAGTGATCTGCAAATTGCATTGATTTCTTGGAGAATCTTGGAGACGTGTGAATCGAGCTTCATAAATGGGATTCTTCATGATTCCTCACACTTCCTGTTGTCATTGGTTTCCTACCGGGTTCGAAACCCGGTATGTGAACGTCCCCATGCCTTCACGAGTTAGCTGTCTTGGTAATTAAGAAACCCATCCCAGCTGGGGGTTGAAGCACTTGGCCCAGCAGTCTTGGAAGTTGAAATCTGAAAGTTACATCTCATTGTTTACGTGGTTCCGCACAAGTTTAAACCTCAAACCTCAAGCTAAGATAGAGTTAAGATGATAAATTTCTGAGATCCACAAAAATGAGCAAGGGCAGCAAGGGATCAACGACAAAAACTAAGACATGTGTCTTTCAGTCCGTCGCTCCGAGGGAGCCAGCCCAAAGTAACTGCTTAGATGTTGATAGATTTTGGTGTTTATTCCTCCAACATACCCTTTCGAGGACAAACTCTTCGCTGGCATGTCCTATATGCCAGCTTGCAAGAGAGCCGACAGAGTCTAGCTGCATATAGCTGCATCACTTAGTAGCCAATAATTGAAGGATACTTAGACCGTCCTTTTCCCAGAGGATTTTCACCATCTCTGCCAGGGCAAAGGGTCGCCAATCCTTTCTGCATCTTGGCGCCTGTTTTGAAATTCAAGGAACAAAAGGACCCTTGATTTGCCACTTGAGTTCTGCACATTGACTCTTCTACTTCTTACTTGTTGAGATATGTTAAGAATTGTTAAGATGCAAAGTAGTTGACCCTACCACTCTTCCACCCAAAACAGTGACTAAGGCGCGAGTCACTTAAAGATTGATCAGCGTCCAAAACAGTACCAAGCCAAAACCAAGTCAACCCAGTCACCCAGTGGCCACTTGCCGCGCAAATGCCATTTCTCTGGGCTAAGGACACCGACAGTCTCCATTTAAGCCAAACACTAGACTCCAATTATATATCTATAGTAACCCCCAAAAAAGATCGAAAAAGAATCGATCCAATTTAAGATTGTTTAGTATGGTTTAGTATGGAATTAAAAACTTCTAGAACTGTTGGGTGCCTGCCATAATTGGATCCATTTTTTGCATCAGCAGCAAGTGGCCTCATAGACTTGGGGATCAGCTGATCAGGTGACGCAGGCAACGGTTACGCATTTCTGCCCAAGCCCGAAGCCGTGGAACCTTCACGCAGCTCAAGTACATTGAAGACGATAGGACAGTAACAGTACTACCATCTATAGGAAGAGATCCGATAAAATGGTATCCGACTGCACAGTTGCAACCTATATCTCCAAGTCAGATCCGTAGAATATCGTAGAATATATAGAATGGCATCCATAAATATATACTTCTATATATGTATAAGACAATATAACAACAATAATAATATAGTAATAACATGTAGTAATAACAATAATTTGAATATTTAATGATATATTTAATATATATATATATATTATATATATATTTAATATATATATATATTTAATATATATATATATACATAACCTCCATGAATTTACCAATTTTCGCAGGAGTCTCCATCAAATTGGTCACAGTTCCACCATTCGGCGTAGGACCAGAGGCAGCTTCGTGCAGCGTTTTGTCGCGGAAGATCGGATGGCGACGATCCACAGATGGACTCCTAAAGGATCCATGGCTGGTTGGTGGTTGAGCCCTACCCCTCTGAAAAATATGAAAGTCAGTTGGGATGATGACAGTCCCAACTGAATGGAAATATAAAACATGTTCCAAACATTTCCAAACCACCCACCAGCTAAAAGTAATCCAGAAACATCCAGAAACTGTAGGGCTGTAGCTGCCTGCTTGGACTAAGATGACCTAAGATGACCTAAGATGGCCTAAGATACCTAAGCCTCCCAAAACAGTTTAAGTGGTCCATTGGATGATTCTGGTATTTCTACCAGAGGATCGAAACCAACAAATAGGTCCTAAGTAGGTAAGCCAGGTTCGCACTCGCAGAGAATCGCATGATTCTGCAAAAACAAGCGAAACATGTGCCTTCTTGATTGTCAACCTGAATTACAACATCGCTCATATTGCTGGATGGAGTAAGAACAGGGCAACCTACACCTGATCAGATGTTCTAAATCAATAATGCCATCTGCATTGCCTACCCTAGAGCAGTGGCCAGCTGCGGTTGATAATCACCATCTCAGCCACAGAGCAGTAGCTGGCGCTGGGGAAGAACCCCTGGCAGGAAAAGTGGTTTCATCCGAGATGCCACTTCTAATTACTAAGCAGGGCCTACAAACATCTACAAAGCCTAGCAACTGCTGCGTAGTGGAGGCGGTATGCTGCCATGCGATTCATTATTTTAGGCTCCAATAAAACACTGTTTTGTTGTAGGAAAGGTGCAAGCCCAAGAGAGCTTCAGTGTGCCCAAAACAATATAATGCTTCAGACTCAAAATGTTCGCACGAAAAACATATTCAGTGGCCCATTCCGAAGGGATTTGTCAAGTTGGCTGCCCTCCACGTCAACACAACAAGGACACGGGAGCAGTACATGACCTGCTGCGTCACAGGTCGTGCCTGTTAGAGTTTCCTGCCAGTGGATCTGTATCGCATTGCCCGAGCGTTGCGCGTTGCGCAGAGATGAACCATCTCCAAAATCTGCCTCCGTTTGCTGATTGAAGCCATGGACCCTGTTGGAGGAAGCAGCTGATACGACAGAGGGAGCTCCTCAGGGAAGTGTCCCAGCTTTCAAAGGTACCTTTTTCAGCAAAAAGGAGGTGTTTTGACTGCAAACTGCAAGCATCTGCAACCATCAGTGCACATCACTTGCAATGACAGCTGCGGAACAGGAAGTTCTCGCTGAAAACTTCGCGTCATGCACTGCCAATTCTTCTCATTGTTCCGTCCACATCTTGCAGGCCGCATCCGATCCGGTCCACACAACCAGACTCTTTGACCTCAGTTTGAAGTTGGGATGGGATCACATTCAAGGGTTGCATTTGGTCTAAGAATGGTTTTAAGGCACAGGAAAGGCTCGTCTTTCATGGGGGAACAACTTGTCGTTGAACCAACCCAGTAAAATGATGTAAAATGTGTATCCAGAACTTTGCCATTTGCAACCCCTGGTTTTTTCCGGTCATGGACCAACTTAGCATCAAACCATGAACGAATTCTGATGTGTCGGGACCTTGTGATTCGACGCCGGAAGAGGTGGTTTTGTCAAACTTCAGAGATCACCAGCGCTGTGCACCTCATAGGATCATAGTCTAATAGTATAGTCACAATATGATCCACTGTTCTATCAGTTGACAACTGTCACACAGCATGACTCCACAGTGTCACAGTGTTCGCAATCTTCTTTTTCATCTTGTTTCTGTACAAGGTTTCTATCCCAATAATCCATGACTGGTGTTTCTGTACTTCCACCAGCTTGATGCACTGGACCCAGAGCTGCTACGCCTGGACCCATGAAATCAGTGAAACAGCCCCTCTTCGGGGTAGCTGGCTGCATCTGTGCGATGGTCTATCAGACCCTTTGCTGGTCGAATCCCAGCCCTAATTCAGAGGAACTAGGCATACACATATGATAGATACACATGTCTAATATCCGCCGACCCCGGCCTTCGCCAAGGCAGAGGCGGCGCCTGGGACCACCGCAGGTGTGGAACTTGTCTTTCTTAGCAACAGGCATCCCAAGGCCACATCCATGGCTTTTTATGGGCGTCCAAGCTTGCCGTTTGCCAGCCCTAAAACGCTCCAAACCCCTAAAACCCCTCAAAGGCCACTTCCATGGCTTCTTATGGGCTTCCAGCGCAGGCAAAAGCTACCCCAAGGCCAGATCCATTGCTGTTTCTGGGCGGTCCAGCGTGCCGTTCGCCAGGCATTCGCAGCCAACGGGCATCCGAAGGCCACTTCAATGGCCTAAAACCCTCCAAACCCCTAAAACCCCAGGCCACTTCAATGGCTTCTTATGGGCTTCCAGCGCATCCATGGCTTTTTATGGGCGTCCAAGCTTGCCGTTTGCCAGGCCTAAAACCCTCCAAACCCTCCAAACCCCTAAAACACTTCAATGGCTTCTTATGGGCTTCCAGCGCAGGCAAAAGCCCACATCCATGGCTTTTTATGGGCGTCCAAGCTTGCGGTTTGCCAGGCCTAAAACCCTCCAAACCACCAAAACCCCTAAAAGGCCACTTCAATGGCTTCTTATGGGCTTCCAGCGCAGGCAAAAGCCCACATCCATGGCTTTTTATGGGCGTCCAAGCTTGCCGTTTGCCAGGCCTAAAACCCTCCAAACCCGCCAAACCCCTAAAACCCCTAAAAGGCCACTTCAATGGCTTCTTATGGGCTTCCAGCGCAGGCAAAAGCCCACATCCATGGCTTTTTATGGGCGTCCAAGCTTGCCGTTTGCCAGGCCTAAAACCCTCCAAACCCCTAAAACCCTAAAAGGCCACTTCAATGGCTTCTTATGG